GAGAGAGAGAGAGAGAGAGAGAGAGAGAGAGAGAGAGAGAGAGAGAGAGAGAGAGCAAAGAGCTCTTTCACATACATCAGAAAACTCATGCCGGTAATCCGAAAGGCCCCTGCAGATAATTAGCAAGGGTTTCCTCGCCATTCTGAAGAGGTAGCTTCGAATTCAGGTCCATGTTTGGAAAGCAGTTATGGGTTACTATCTTACTAACTCAGCACGTGATTTTCAGGGCTTCACTCCACTACTCACCAAATGTGCAAAACTAGAATGAATCTTCTGCTAGAACATGGAACCGTACGCTGCCATATGTTTTGTCTTTTGTGCAAATCGTGAGTAGTGGAGTGAGGCCCTTAGGGCTACTGGACGTAAGAAAAGGAAAAACAAAAAACAAAGAGACCCTGCCGTAGTATTAGTAGTAACCCATAACTGCTGGAAACAGACCTGAATTCGAATCCAGAGTATATATTGCTGGCCTGCTCGTGTCTGACCAGCAATGTGATGAACATCTCTGCGAAGAAATGGGACCCTTGCTGATTCTCTGCTGGGGGGCCTTCGGAAAAGAGACTGGATCCACTGAGGGAGTACGACGTGGCCCCAATTTTTTTCTTTTTCTGTGCACTTTCAATTTTGAGAAGGAAGGGGCACGTTTGGCTACCACAGCCTTCTTCGGCCCTTTTCGGATTTTTTAATCAACCCTATTTATTTGGGTGCGTCGCATCCTGTGCGCGCGCATATGTGCATGTGCGCTATGCGCCACACGTGCGCAACTCGTGCACACGTGATGCGCCCCAAGTATGATCCATCTTATTCGTACTGAAAAGTGGACACTGGCATTCGGATGCCTTTCGTTGAGCGCATTCGCGTACATGCGAAAACAGGAGCAGGAAGAATTCGTTTTGTTGGTCGGGAAGGTGTCTTCGTGTCCTTGTGAAAGACTTCTGCTCTGAGGAACTGATAGACTGATAGTGATGTCTCCCTCAATGATCGGTGTACCATGGATCGAAGAGTTCATCGACAGTGGTAATTGGTCCCAGTGCCAGTGCACAGTTTTCGTGTAGCAAGGTGTTCGAGCATGCGCGCGCGCGCGCGCGAGAGAGAGAGAGAGAGAGAGAGAGAGAGAGAGAGAGAGAGAGAGAGAGAGAGAGAGAGAGAGA